TTAAAGGCTAAAAAATTTATTAGGGCATAAGCTTTCGGGGACTAAAGCAACCGAAGAAGTGGGCTGTAGTCCACAAAAGCTTATGCTCTAATAAATTTGTTAGTCTCTAAGGTGCCACAAGTACTCCTGTTCTTCTTTTTGCGGTATAGTTTAGGCTGAAGGTTGCTATTTTCTCCCAGGCTGCACAAGAAACTGAAGCAAAATAATAAAAACCCTCAAGAAGAAAGTGAACAAATCTGGCAATGTAATCCAGCTTTCTTCATATTTAGATGGACTTCATCACTGCAGTGTCTGAAGGTCATAAGGCTCCGTAAAGATATGGAGGCAGATGAGCCAACTGAATTCCTGTAGGGCACGTTGCCACAACTCCTAAAGCTGCAGAAAGACATACAACTGGAGATCAAATGGGCATACAAGTCACCAGCACCAACACTGAGGATGGAAAGAGATCCAGACACCTCACATTATTATTTATATTCCAGTAACTCCCATAGTTCCCTATCAAGATCATTGTGCTAGGTGTTGTACATACATACATAGTAAGAAACCATTCCTGTCCTGAAGAACTCTAGACAGACAAGATAAACAAAGTGTGAGAGACAGAAAGCATTATTTCCCTCATTTTACTGATGGGGAACTGAGGCAAAGAGAGATCCTACAACTTGCCTGAGGTTACACAGTGTTTGACAGAGCCAGAAACTGAACCCAAATCACCTAAATCCCAGTTCAGTGGCTTAAGCATAAATCTATTCTTCGTCTCCTATTCAAACTCTTCTTGCTCACTATTGAAGGGCTTCTGCTCACCAAGCTCTGTGAGTGAGCTGGAGAAACTGCGTGGTAGAAACAACTCTAAAAAATCATGCTGTTCCCTGACTGCAACAAGGAAGCTGTGGGGTAGCATCAGAAATTCCAGGAAGCTAAAAAACTGGCTAAGAAGAGGGCTTTGCCTTTCTTCATCTCCGGCCCAGATATCTTGTTTGTGACATGGAGACAGCTTGATCAATCTCACCTCATACCCTTGGTGGCAGAGATGTATCTGAAAGGGCTCCGAGCAACTCCTGATGCCCCTACTGAGAGACTGCAGATTAGACTGCACCACAACGTTTAGGGCATATATAGATTTTGACATCAGCTCCTGAAATAACTAGTTTTCAAGGCAAGAATAATATATTTTTAAGAATCTGACATTAATTGAAAACTAGAAGTGATTCTCTGTTGTCAGCATCTGAAACAGACATAGCAAATTTTCAAAAGTGAAAAACATTTCCAGGATCTGGTAAATGTACTCCTCCTACTGCATCCCCTGCCAATATGCCTCTCTGACCTAGTGCCGCACAGGTCCATTTTCCAAATGGGGTAACTGAAGGGCGCAGTTAAGAGGGGCTGGGCCCAGTGTTAAGGAAGATTGCCAATGTCTCTTTTAAGGAAAGAGAACTACTGACTTCTCTTAGAGGAGCACTGGTGTGGTATATGTGCAGAAAACTATCACTTAACATAGACAATCTGCCCAACTATCAACTTGTGTCTAATCCTCTCTTTGGGGACAGGATTATTGAAAAGGTTGTGAGACAGTTCTCACGAGACCTTGGATTTCCTTGACCCTTGTCAATCTGACTATTGACCTCAATTTGGTACAGAGACTGTTGAGTTGTGTTGGCTGAAGATCTACTCCTAGAGATGGATCTTTGCTGCCTTTAATACTGTTGATCAAAAGATATTGTTGATTCAGAGACGCACAGACTTTATGGCCAGAGGGGACCATCATGATCACCTAATCTGACCTCCTGCAGATTGCAAACCACAGAACCTCACCTACCCACTCCTGTAGTAGGCCCATAACCTCTGACTGAGTTACTGCAGTCCTCAAATCTTGATTTAAAGACTTCAAGTTACACTGAATCCACCATTTACAGTATTTCAAACCAGCAACTGAACTGTGCCCCACACTGCAGAGGAAGGCAAAAAACCCAGGGTCTCTGCCAAAATATCGGGGGGGGGAGGAAATATGGTAATCAGTTAGACCTGAGCATGTGTACAAGACCCACCAGTCTGGGAAAGAATTCTCTGTAGTAACCAGAACCCTTCTCCTCCTCCACCCCCATCCAGTGTCCCATCTCCAGCCATTGGAAATATTTGCTAATGTTGTGGATGGGCCATATGCCATTGTAGGCAATCTCATTATACCATCCTCTCCATGAATTTACCAAGCTCAGTCTTAAAACAAGTTAATTTTTTTGCCCCCACTATTCCCCTTAGATGGCTGTTCTAGAACTTTACTCCTCTGATGGCTGGGAACCCTCATGTAATTTCAAGCCTAAACTTGTTGATGGCCAGTTTATATCCATTTGTTCTTGTGCCAGCATTGGCCCTTTACTTAAATAACTCCTCTCCCTCCCTGGTGTTTATCCCTCTTGTGTATTTATAGAGAGCAATCATATCTCCCCTCAGCCTTTGTTTTGTTAGTAAGTCAAGCTCCTTCCATTTCTTCCCAAAAGGTACGTTCTCCATTCCTCTAATCATCCTGGTAGCCATCTCTTCACCTGTTACAGTTTGAATTCATCTTTCTTAAACATGAGAGGCAAGAACTGCACATGCTATTCCAGATGAGGTCTCACCAATGCTTTGTATAATGTTAATAACCCTTCCCTATCTCTACTGGAAATACCTTGCATGATGCATCCTAAGATTGCATTAGCCTGTTCACCGCTGCATCACACTGGCAGCTTGTAGTCATCCTGTGATCCACCAATACACCCACATGTTCCTCCTCCTTGTCACTTCCAACTGATACGTCCCCAGCTTATGGGAAAAAATCATGTTGTTAGTCCCTAAGTGCATAACCTTGCATCCACCTACAGACCTTAGGGGAGTGGACAAGGCTGGCTTCAAGTGGCTTTATTGAATTTAAAAAATTCAGTTGTGGTGAAAGATACATGATTGGCAGATCCTGGAAACAGAAGTCCTCAGTGTATTAACAGAACAGGTGTCTTTTGGAGAGAAGATAAGTGTTGTGCAATTGCTGGCCTTCCCTAAAGGTGCCCTCATGTGGAGTCTTAAAGAGATCCACCTTGTCTTCCTTATTTTTTGACACATATAAAAGCCCATAAGGGTCCTGGTTTGTTCCATGATTCCACAGCCACAGAATTCAATTCACCATAGCAAAAAGTACATTAAGGACAATGATGATACAGTATCTTGAGTAAATACAGGCAGTTTCCCTGTCACCTAAGCTGAAAAGAGTAATCACTGAAATTTAAATGACTAACCAGAGGTGAGAGTAAAGATTAACAGTAGCATTCATCTTATTTGTTTACTTTGAGTAATGGGAAGTGGGCATATCACTTTACCTTCTGCAAAGAGTAGTTAGTTTACTTTTGTACAACACTTTGAGGATGTGAAATGGTACATAGGATATAAGTATGATTATTATTGCTCATTAATACTGTAGCTGTCAACTGCTCAGTACTGTATAAATATAAAAGAAGATGTATGACACTTTCTGCTCCAAGAAATTTACAATCTAAGAGGGGAATTCATGGTTGGGTTGCAGTCCATTTATTTCAGGTATATCAACATAAAATGGCTGCAAAGCTCTGGTAAAGCCACCCCAAGGAAAACCCCCAGTATAGGGTGCCTCTCTAGTAGGCACAGAGACAGTATAACTGGATCTACAAGTGCAACAGTCCACAGTGTAGGCACTGGGCTGAAGGCAGGCTGGCAGTGGGAGAGTGCACAGGTACACTCCAGCTATTTTCTGGTAGTGCAACAGCCCACAGAAGGGACACAAGTTAGTACAGTCTTCAGGAATGCTTCAACAAATGCAGGGGGCAAGCGGGCACCTCGCAGCCTCAGGAGAGGGGAAGTGAAGCCAACCTCATCACCAGAACAGGATGTATACCTCTCTGGGCCTAATCCTTTGGAAGTACAGTATTGTCATTGATTTCAACAGGAGCAGAACCTAGATTAGCAAATGCATTACATCACAGGCCTTAAAGACACCAGTTGGCCAATCGGCGGGTATTTTATTGGTTTAAGATGCAGTGTTGTTTTGGAGGGGTTTTTAACACTCGGGCCGTGCAGAAGGAGCCCGTTTTAACGTGTTAGGCAGGACAACCTTGCTATCATTCCTTGTTGCCTCTTCCCGTCCCTCCACCCAAGGAAAAGGCCCTGCAATGGTGGGGCTGGCTGGCACCTTCTCCCCCGGTGGACGAGGGGGCGGGTTGGCTCTGCGGGCGCAGACGACACCTGAGCTGCGCTCCCCACCTGTATCACAGCACTCGGTCTGTCCATCTCGCGGCCTCAGACTGGGAGCTCCTCGGGGCAGGCGCCAGGCCGCACGTCCACTCAGGCCCTGCCACTGGGGTGAGGGTGGTGCCTGAGGGCGTGGGGGTGGAGGAGTAAAGCCCAGCCCACTGGCTGCTAGGCCCAGCACCCCCCACCGCGCGCCTCCCCTCCTGGCGGGGCACGTCGCGAGCTCTCGCACCCAGGCCTGGGCTGAGGTGTTTCACAGGCTCCCGCCCCTGACAGGGCATTTCGAGCCTAACCGACCCTCCCAAAATGGCGGTGCTGTTCTACCTCCGGGGGAGGCGGGCGCCAGAGACCGGACCTTCCCAAGATGGCGGCCCTGTTTTAGCGAGCGGGGCAGCCAGTGACCTTTCCAAGGTGGCGTCTTCCCACTCCCGTTTGTCGCCCTTTCCAAGATGGTGTCGCGGAGGCTCCGCCCCCGAGCCGTGCATGCTGGGAGCGGCGGCAGTGACTGCTGGCTGAGGCGCCGGGCCTGCTGCTGCTGTGTGGGGCCGGGGCCGGGGTCGCAGCGAGTCGGGGCCGAGAGGCGCGATGCCGGAGCTGGCCGTGGACCGGGTGGTGGTTCACCCGCTGGTGCTGCTCAGCGTGGTGGATCACTTCAACAGGTGAGGCCCGGCGGGGCCTGGCGCGCCCGGCCGCTGAGTCACGGGCCCGGCCGGATCCCTGTGCGGGGCCGGGCCGGGGGCCTCGGCCTCACCCGCGCCGGGGGCCGGGAGCGGGGGCGCTGAGTCATGGCCCTGCCGCGGGCCCGTGCCCCTCACCCGCGCCTCGTGGCTGCGAGAGGGCCCGGGCCCCGGGGACGGGCGGGGGCACGGCGCGGGGGGGTCTCTAGGGAGGTGGGGGGCCTGGCTGGGGCGGGGGGGTGAGAGGGGGGGCGGGCGCACGGCGCGGGGGGGTCTCTAGGGAGGTGGGGGGCCTGGCTGGGGCGGGGGGCGGGGGCACGGCGCGGAGGGGTCTCTAGGGAGGTGGGGGGTCTCTAGGGAGGTGGGGGGCCTGGCTGGTGCGGTGCTGTTCGCGGGCCTGGCTCTCGCATGTGGGGTTCGTGTCGGTGCCCGGCGCTTGCGGGGACTCCCGTGCGGGATTTCGGCTCCCAGGAAGCCCATGTGCAGGTGTGCCCCGTTCTCCGGCTCGTCTGTACCATGGGAGGACCCTGGGGATTGGTGACTGTGTAAAAACTTGGGGCCCGTAGAGCTGAAAGTCGCTGCTGAGGTCTTGAGCAATTCATAGCGACCTCCTCGCGACTTCAGCCTGGCTGGGCTCCTTTCCCATCGTTTTCTTCAAAATCGCTGTCAACCTTATACATCTGTGCATGCAAAAGTGCTCTCGGGCACGAATGGCCCCAGCTCTCATACAAGAGCGTTACTGCAATCTTAGGGCTACTGTTACATTTTATATCCTGGCCTTACATCCTTAAAGACCCCCAAACGGCTTTTTAAACTAAATGTTACTGACTGTATGTAACCTTTTTATAAGCAGTTACTCAGTGAGGCAAAGCTTTAGGCTTTGTATTGTCTGCTCCGTATCTCATTGATCAGTAAAACCCAGAGCAAGTATCTCAGAAAACCTGAAGATTTTTCTTCAATAGTCTGATATTCTGGCTGTGTGTGTCAGAAAGGTAGAAGGGGCTTGTCTACACTACGGAGCTTTTTAGCAACAAGGCTGTGTCGACACAGCCTTGTCACTACAAGTCAGCGAGTGCGAACGCTCTTTTGTGGTATTTTGTCAGCACTTTTGCTGACAAAATACTTCCAGCCCCACGACTGGCATAAGCTTTGTCTGCAGGAGAGCGCTCCTGCCGACAGAGCCGCATTCACACTGCCACTTCTGTTGGCAAAACTTTTGTCTTTCGTGGGAGGACTTTAAGTACCCACAAAAGACAAAAGTTTTGGTGACAACTGCGCTGTGTAGACATACCCTAGATAACTTCATAAATGTGAAAGTCAGCACCAGCTATTCAGATCTGGGGGCATGGCCTGTTGCTGCAGTTGTGAGCATAAATAGATAATTAACTAAATCATCTGACTGCACAATTTCCAGTGTTCTTGCAGTTATGCTAATTTATGCTTCCAAATTATGCAGTCAGATGAATATGCATTTTTATATGTACAGTTCTGAAAATCTTGGAGCTAATGTTTATCTTAAAACATAGGCTCTTTAGGACAGCGACCATGCCTGTGTGTTGTACAGTATGCCATTTAAAAAAAAAAATTAGCAAGTGGAATTATCTTGCATCAATAAAATGCAATTACAGTGTCCTAAAGCTGCATGAATGGACTGCAAAAGCAACAGTTTACGAGTGATGACTTCTTATAATTTTGTGATATAAGGAGTTTGAACAGTACCAATATGATGTATTGAGAGTTCTGATTTGTCATGGGGTATCATTTATGATTTAGTAAATTACAAAGATGATAGTTTATGCTTGCATTAAAGGACATGATATTCCCAAATAGGTTTATTTGTTTTTCCCTTATTAAGAACCATTGAACCAAAGTTAAAGTAACATTTGAATACAGTGAAATTGGTTAACAAGTTATAAATACCATTTTAGGCATAACTGACTTTGGTTTAAAATGTAGTGTGTATATTCTCTGCATATTGAATCATGGCATTTTTCATTTGTCTGGTTTAAACAGATTTTACCCTTAAAGCTACAATTCACTCAGCAGAGAATAAATTATATTCCTCTAAACATCTTGTGCAATTTGTGCTCAGTGTGCCTAAAATTAACTTAATTGCACTAACTGACAAGCACTCTTAATGTAAAAAAATCTTTTCCTTCAAGGCAGCGTACAATAGCAGAGAAAAACCTACTATTGTAAAAGTAAATTAGGGATGACAGTGAACAAAGTTGAAAGTTTACTGTACTTTTTACAGCTTGATTTACAGAACAAATGCAGTAGTAGCCCTCGATTTTATGACACAGTAATCTCCGTTATAGTGGCATCCATTAGCTGCATGGAAACATCTAGTGCACTTTTCACATCAGAGGATAAATTACAAGTGTAGTGCCTGGATTTAGAGTGCACTGTAACAACTTCTTTAGGTATAAATTAACTACGTAATGACAAGGAACATATTACCCTGTTCGTCTCCCACCTACATCCCCAAGAACCACATGCTGTTTATCTTCTAACTTAGTCAGATGACACAACTGATTCATTTGTACTATTGGTGTTTTATTTCCAGTATCAAATATGTTGCATTTCTTAATACAAACTGTGACAGTCTTTTCCATTTAGAATAGGAAAAGTTGGGAATCAGAAGCGAGTTGTTGGAGTGTTGCTGGGCTCTTGGCAGAAGAAAATATTAGACGTATCCAACAGTTTTGCAGGTGAGTTTGGGTGTCCTATTCTGTTTACCACCTATTAAGTTAGCTAGCAGGAAAACTGCCAAATGTTTTCTTGCACCATCCTGGCACATTAAATTCTTCTTCCCATTTATAAATTCATGAAGCTATGGTGTCTACATTTTCATGGAAAAATGCTGGTTATCTGCTTACAAAAGAACTCGATCCCATCAGTCTCCTCCAGCTCTGCATCTTGTCTGCAGCAGTATCCAATGGTGAATGCTCAGAGGCAGCTGTAAAACTCTTAAAGCAATAATTGTTCGGTATACTCTCGGAGGTGGAAGATTTCTTCCTGATCCTGGATTGTGATCATTTTATGACCTTGGGCTTTGAAGACTCATGGTTTGAGTTACCTAGCTAATGTCATTGCAGATGTTACTTATTCACATGAAGATCTAATGGTTTATTTGAAAAGTACCTTTTTTCTTTAAGAATAGCCCATGAGAATTGCACAGATATTGCTTAAAGTGTATTTTCACTTGTATTAAAATCATTACCTCTTGAGTTTGAATCCTGGTTTTGTTCAGTGGTAAAATCAGGACCTGTATCGTCTTTTCTGACCTTTGTTTTCTTATTTACCTCTCTTATCTTCTCTTATTCATCTGCTTTCCGAAGGGGGTATTTATTGATAAAGCAGAATCATCCGTGTTGGCTCCTGCGTGAAAATCTGGGAACAAAAGTGTAGCCTAATCCTGGGTTATTTTTGCAGAGTTGTGAAGATGGAGTAACAGTTTGGTCACTTAAACTGCAGGGCTGCCAAAAATAGAACTTTATAATTGGAGATTTTTTTGTATTCCTATAAATTAAAGCCCTGTTGCTCAGAACTAAACTTGTAGCCTGTTATCCATGATGTGAACTAACAAAACAAACTAGTTCTTTACTCAAGAAAATGGAATATGCAATTATTTTTAAACAGACTTCGTAGAATTGTAGTTATTTGTCTTAATGCACTAATGGAATGTGTCTTGTACCACAAAGTAGCTTTTCACCTCTGTTGACCCAACAGGCTCTAGTGACCTATTCGGACCCACATTTTCTTTATCAGATATCCTTACACACCAATTTTGTGTAAATTGTTCATACACTAGAATGTTCCTGGCGTGTTCTTGAACGCTTCGTAGATGTCGTTTGCTCAAAATAATTCAATTGCTTTGGTTTTCCTTGCTTAATTCTAAAACTAATTCAGTAATTATCAGAAAACCACTTTGAAAAAATCAGCTAATGTTGCTGTTTTCCTGTTGAGTTTTACAACAGTATCTGCAGCTCAGTATAGCAGAACAGTTGTATTCAATCAAAATTGAGCAAAATTACTTTTTTTTCATTTGTAGCCAAGAACTTGCTGGAAAAAAAAATCTGTTTTTTCTGTGAAAGTTTTCAGGCTGGATGAAACTTGAACTACTAAATATTGAACTAATTGTTTTGTTCCCAGTCCCTTTCGATGAGGATGATAAAGATGACTCTGTGTGGTTTCTAGACCATGATTATCTGGAGAACATGTATGGAATGTTTAAAAAAGTCAATGGTAAGTGCACATTGTGAGCGGTTGATATTTACCTAGAAACTCTCTCTCTAAGTCTCCTGGTAGCGCTGTACTTCCAAGAACTGAGGTGACGATCTTGGGGATTGAATAGCTATAAGAAATTCAAACTCTGATACTGTGACCCCTTCCGCCAGAATCTCCTTTCCCTCATATGAGTGCAGACATCTGAATTACAAACCCAAGTGAACTGATTAACCTTTCTGTTTTGCCTATAAAGGTCTCACTTTTCTTTTCTTTATAAGATTATGGGGGCTGAATCTGGAGATGCTACAGTAATTCCCCTGTGAACATTCCCAGCCCTTAGAAAAACTCTTATTTAGACTGCTGATGTTCTTATGATTCCTTAAGTATTTGAGTCTCAAGTCTAGTGCAGATCTTGCAGCTTATTATCTTTGAATTTTTGTGCAGCAGGATATTAAGAGCTCGTTGGCCCCCTTTTGTCTCTGAGAGAGTCCCACAGTCTGTGCGCTCGAAACTGCCATGTTGCATAAACCAGCTCTGACTCGGGGATCATTCATAGCTGATAAGGGGTGTAAAATATTTGACAGACAGGATCCATGCCTTTGTCACGTCTAAGATAGATTATTGTACTATGCTCTACCGTGGGTACTATCCTTTGAGACCACTCGGAAGCTTTGACTAGAACAGAATCTGATTGTTCACCTGTTTAAGGAAGTGGAGCAGCATGGGACACTACACCTGTGCTTTCAACATCTTTGGCTTCCTGTCTGCAAATCAAAGCAGTGATGCTAAATAAAAAAAAATTGGAACCTCACTGCCTTGAGGATGGTTGCTTTGCCTGTGTATCGTAAGGATGCTGAAGTCCACTGCGGCCTGTTGCTGATGTTATCTCTGCATTGTTTGGTGATTTAAAGTTGTTTTCTGTGAAGGGTCTTCAAAAGCCTAAGTTTAATGACGAAAGAGCCATCTTATTTGTTGAAGCTCCTCCTGACTGACTATTGCTAAGGTAGTTTGGGTTGTCTGGGGTGATGCACAAATGGCTTGTCTGTGCTGTCCAATAATATAATGCTGCATTTAATCTCTCTCCTATGCACCCATTGTTGAAGTGTCTAGGCACAAAAACCAATTTAGCAAATACCTTCCTGTAAAGCCCTGTTTTTCTAGATTTGCCAGTAAATTTTTAATCTAAATGCGTTGTTCAGCTCCCAACCTTCATATGCCCTCAGCCATCACCTACTCCATTTTCCATTCGTAAACTGCCTTCCACCAGCTCAGAATCTGAGGCAAAGGAGTGCAAAGTGCAGCAACAATTTAGTTTCTCAAAGCGTTTAGGTCTTTACTGGTGTCTGTAAAGCAGAAGTGGGAGTTCTACTTGATGTCCTTTGGGAAGTTTGGGCACAACCCAGGGTCAGGCAGTACCTGGATTTGAGCGCTTATATGCCCCTGTATGAACTATTTTCCTGTCATTACCCTCAGATTCTGACTATTCTAATTGTTTTTGCTTTTCCCAGCTAGGGAAAGAATTGTTGGATGGTACCACACAGGCCCCAAACTACACAAGAATGACATTGCCATCAATGAACTAATGAAAAGATACTGTCCTAATTCTGTAAGTAATGCACTTAAACTGTTTATGGAGCCTCTGGGAACCCGCAGTCCCTTCCAGCTCCATCTGCAATTTGCAGTAGTGACATGAAATGTAGTAAGATATAGCATGGTAAATGTAAAGTGAATAGAGCACGCTGATCAGTCTCCCTTGAAACAGTGGCAGACATTTTTTTTTCTCTGCTTGCAGTTAGAAACCTCTTTGATTGAAAAACAAACTTGTCATTGCTAGAGAATTAGCAGTTGGCCACAACCTGTTTCTTCTAGTTCTTGAGTAGGTTTTGTCTAATATGTGTTTCTCTACCAGGTATTGGTAATTATTGATGTAAAGCCAAAGGACCTGGGACTGCCAACGGAAGCCTATATTTCAGTTGAAGAAGTTCATGATGTGAGTGTTGAACATTTCAGTATTTGTCATTTTCAGTCTATTGTGGGATTTCCTGCAAAAGGGAAAGAGGTGCTTTAAGAAATCGATACGTTAAACCATCTTGCCTTGTCCTTTAGGGTACCCTTTCCACTACATCAGTTTGGATTTTTCAGTTCAATAGATAACATTGCGTCTGCTAACTAGGGGTTTTTTGCATTTCAGTTTAAACCTGCTAAATTAGTGTTTGAACCCCCACTGTAAATTTCAGCTTATTGAACCAAAATTATCCATCCTCCAACACCCCTGAAAAGCAGTTTCTCGCTGCTTGAACCGAGGAGCTCTGCAGCTTCTTGCAACTTCAGCTAGCTGCTCCTTTACTGTTTGTCCACCCCCATGAAAAAGCAGCAGGATGGAGTACGCATTTATGATACAACTGATACACGTCCGCTTGTTGCAGCACTAATTTGAGTAATCGCACCCCTCCTCTTCACCAGCTTACTCTTCACTACACACGGTTGACTTTACTATCTTTGTTAATCACTCATCTAGAATCAGTGGTGACTTTTTGTCCAGATTTAATTTTGATGGTTTTAAAATCAGAATCCCAAAATAATTAAAAAAAACAAAAAACTGGTCTTGTCATTATCTGTTTGAGACCCATGGTGGAGAGAGACAGCTGTTCCCAGGTTCTCCAGTCTTAAATTTTTTCTGGTATTGTGAACTCTTGTTCTTACAGCTGTTGGTCCCCACTGGGCCTGGAGCATGGTACAACCAAAACTAATACAAGTCTCAAAGGTAACTAGGTCCCATCTTCAAATAAAATACTCACCCTGGCACTCGGTCACGCGCACACACACACACACACTCTCCAGTACATAGCCCTGCAAATTAACTACCTGGAATCTATTGAGCCTCACCAAGAATAATGCTACAAATGAAGTGGTGGGAGGAGCGTTAATGTACAGAATAATGTGTTGTTACCATCACCTCAGCTGTCTCTAACATTTCTGTGGGTTAGGGACATCTGCCTCAGTTTAACTGGTGTGCACTAGAAATTAGGCAGCACGTTAAAGTACCTTATTTTATAATTATAGTTATTGTTATCTTTGTTGATGACCTCCTTCCTGTCTGACTTCCAGAGGCATGTCTAGCCAGTTTTCTAGATTAATTTAAAGAATATCAATTTCTTAGTCTCCCTTTTATACTTAATTAACTCACTTTGGGGATTCTGTTATGAACTAGTTTTCACCATATCTGTGGACTGTGTGGGGCTCTCCTATCCCATCTTGATAGGTTTTCCTCACTGGCTGTTTCTGATTCTATTCTTATCATGCATGTTCCACCTATTCATCGAAGCAGGCCAGAGGTAGCTCTGGATAAAATGTACAGTGCTTTTTGGCTTGTAACAAATCCAGCTTCCAATAAACCTTCTTTGTTTTGAAGTTTCACTGGAGTAGTTCTACTGTTCACATGCACAGTACCCAAAACCCGCTCACTTGAGGTTATGCTGTCACACCTGTAATCATCTGCTCTCTATTTCTAACCTTGTCACCATCCCATTCTTGTACCCCAACAAAGGATGGAACTCCAACCTCCAAGACTTTTGAACATGTGACCAGTGAAATTGGAGCTGAAGAAGCAGAGGAAGTTGGTGTTGAACACTTGCTACGGTAAAAGCTTTATTTTAATGAAAACCTTATCAGTGGTTGGATGGCAGCTCATTTTATCCATCTAAATGCTACTGGCACCAGCTGCCTGCCCAGGGATACGATACAAGAAACAAGGATCTTGTTACATGCGACTTAAACACTTAATTTAATCTAAACAGGTTAAATTCAGCAATACTGCATAATACAGAATCTGCTGAACTCATTTCTTGTGAAATGTTTGACTGACTTTTAAAAAAAAAAAATAATAATAATAATAAAATGTCAGTTTCACTTTGCTCCTTGAACTCCAGCAAATAGCTTGAGATACTTCAGAACAATGTAGAGTCACACTTCATAGTTCAGAAAGGAGAGCAACATTATCTGGGGGCAGACTACGCAGACCTTTCATCTATCAAGACTCAAAGAGCAGAAAGGCATTGTTTACAAATGGTCACAGAGGGAGATTTTGCTTTGGTTTGCCTTCACTCTTTATATTTGTAAAGCAATCTCCGAGCCTTCAGTGAAATGTTAAGTCTCGCAAGGCCCCTGTGATGTTAAACAATTATACCTATTTTACAGCTGTGTAATCTGGAGAGGTGTGACTTGCCCAAGTCCCCAAAGTGAGTTAGTGACACAGCTTCTCATACAACCCAGGAGTCCCCTCGTTCTCTCCTAACCATCAGACTAGTATTCCTAAAAAATATTCAGTCCATAGAGAGCATATGGTGACTTTTATCAAATCTATCTTAGGTGTTTCTAATGCACCCAATGTAAATTTGTTTTTTCTGAATCTTTGCTGTGAAGTGTTTTGTAAAATTTTACTTCATCTACCCTTCAAAGCAGCCTTCTATAGATCTTTCTAGCTCAAAAATAAATTAATGTAAGTAAAGTAACATTAAGGCTTCTCCTTCCTATTTTGGGTGTTTCAGAGATATTAAAGACACAACAGTGGGCACTCTGTCCCAGCGCATCACAAACCAGGTCCATGGTTTGAAGGGACTGAACTCCAAGCTTCTGGATATCAGGAGCTACCTAGAGAAAGTGGCCATGGGCAAACTACCCATCAATCACCAGATCATTTACCAGCTTCAGGATGTCTTCAACCTGCTGCCAGATGTCAACCTGCAGGAGTTTGTCAAGGCCTTTTACCTGAAGACCAATGACCAGATGGTGGTGGTCTACTTGGCTTCTCTTATCCGGTCTGTGGTTGCCCTGCACAACCTCATCAACAACAAGATTGCCAACAGAGATGCAGAGAAGAAGGAAGGTCAGGAAAAGGAGGAAAGCAAAAAGGAGAGGAAAGATGAGAAGGAGAAAGACAAAGAGAAGAGTGATGGCAAGAAAGAGGAGAAAAAAGAGAAAAAATGAAAAGTGTAGTTTTTTATTTGTAAATTAAAATCTTGTAAACTAAATCACTCTGCTGCTAGAAGGTTCTTTTCACTTGTTAAAGTGATCAGAGTTCTCTGTTCTTGCCTGTCTTGGGAGGCACTTTCAGATCAGCTGCCTCTGCTCTTACATCATACAGGCAGATAGCTGGATACAGGGGACGAGGGAATTCAGTCCACACAAACTGGCAGTTCTAATAAGGAACAGGCAGCCTTACTACTGGGAAGGAAAGCCCCTGTCATTTCAGTCCTCAGCGCTGTGAAGGGAGGAAGGAACAAGCAAAGGTAAAGTGCAGCGTTTGTCATCTGCTGCCAGTAAAATCTTGTGTCCCAAGATGCTTGTCTGTCTCCTTCCCTCATGATTTAGGTTTACAGGCTATTTGGGGTTACTACCATGTAGTATGTAAAACTGCTAAACTGTATGCATGACCCTGCTGCTCCTTGCCATCTTGCATTCTGCTGTCACTCCTAATCTGTGCTTGAAGGCCCTGCACAGAGGATAAATTTACCTGCCCAGCCTGTTGCCCAGGAGATCTTGAGGTTGGGCTCCTATACTGTTTTACTTCCAAGAGAAGATTAAATGGTTTGGTTTGTAACTCTGACTTCTGGTCATTTTTAATCCCAAAAGCCAAAGGGGAGCAGATTTTATTAGTGCTGGAGTGAGGAATGTAGGATACAAGAATCTCGTTTCAGGAGGAAAGACGCTGAACAGGCTGAGAGCACAGAATGTAGCCTATGAGGATAAGATGGGTTTATGCCCTGCGTGCTGAGATGTGCAAAATCGCTCTACAACAGTTGGTGCCGTAGTGCCAACTAGCACAAAGCTCTTTGGGCCAGTTACTACATCTGTAGTGCCCAGGACAAGAGCCCCCCGCCTAATCAAGGGCGCTAAAGGCTATGACAGTACAAATTCCATCTTGGCATGGAGTCTACAAGACACGCGCAAGTTAATTGTGAATTTTGGGAGCTCGCCCATGTTAGTCACTTCCTTAAGAGGGGCTGGTGGCTCCTTGCTACCCTACCTTGCTCAGTGAGAGGAGGAGGGGCAGCCAGCATGTTGGTCTTAGGCAGCTCCAAACCCTTTTGTGGAAGTGCCCCAGGGGTTACAGGACTCCACATTAAAGATGAGGGCATTGGCTGAGCTCAAGCAGGAGCATTCCTTGCATGGATCTATAGGCTCCAGGCGTTGCATTTCTAGATGAAAGAGTGATTGTCTTACATTCCTGTAAATGAAGTGTGTGGACGCTAGGAAATAAAGGCGCCTCTAGAAGCACTACTTTGAATCTGGGTGAATGGAGGGGCATGTTGGCCAACTACACTATCTTTCCCTTGACTGATGGTTAGCCTAGGAAACCTTTGCCCTGGTGGCCTGTCAGACAGCATCCCCATTTCCTCTAAGAGAACTGGTCGTGTTCAAACTTCCACGTAGTGTCATTACAATTGCTGCATTTAGCTCTCATTCGTGGGTCATGTTGCTATAGGACCATGTTGAAGTGAAGCAGGGAACAGGACTCTATTAAATAGAGTAAGTTCACTCAGGGTAACTGTTTAAGGTGGGAGACCTCAACCTGCCAGTCCTGGTCCCAGAAGATCCTTGAATGGCCTATTTCAAATGACTCCGAGATGGAAAATGCTGCCTTAGAGCCCTGGTAAGATGATAAACCTGTTGATGCCCTACTCTCGGCAGGCAGAACTCACTGATTTCAACTGCTGCCATGTAAAAACAAGCATGTTTCCCAGGCCCATTGTAGATGTAACATCCATCACCGTGGTAGCCCAATGCCACAGTCAGTATCAAGACCTTGAACTGACCCTGACTCTGATTCACTTGCTGTTATGTAATAGGAGAATCTTTTCCCGTTCCATGAGAAATTAAACTGGTTTGTTGTTATGGTAGTTTTACACCATTTGGAGGCAATAAATGCTCAATTTACAGTCAGTTTACTTTTATGCACCAGCACAGGTCTGTGTAGTGAACCAGCTCAAGTTGAATCTTCTTAGGTGTGTATCTGGCCCCATTACCATAGTACCCTAACACCCCACAGTTATTAAGCCAGCCTGGGGAGGCAAAGTAGGGCTCTTATCCCCACTGTAGAGATGGGAACTTGGCCATGTCACAGGGCGAGTGGGTAGAGCAGGGAAGTGAATCCAGGCCTTTGGCATGCCCGGCTATTGCCCCAACCAGGGCCCCAGCCTCTCTTGGTAAAGGGTTTTCCCTCCCACACCCACCCATCACTGTGAAGGAGTAAGAAATTGAGCTAGACTTTCTGTGACTGAAAAAAACAAAATTCCACTTGGCAGTAACTTAAGATACTTTTACCACTTGCTTTGTAAGAAGGGGAGGGAGGTGGGTGGTTGAGGTAGGGAATCTTTCACCACTCAAGCCTGCCTGAAGCAAGCAGGGGCTGCAAACCATCATCAGAAGGTTGTGACCTATTCTTGGTGAGTTAGTGGGTCTTGCTCTTGTGAACACACCTCACATGAAGAACACCATGAAAATTAGTGTTTGTGGAGCATGCATCTCTCTTTGCTGATTGGTGAAAGGATGGAGGTAATTTCATGAGAACCACTGATCTTGTGAGAATTCTGCAACTTTTGGTTGAAATTTCATGATGTTTCAGTACCCCTGCCTTCTAGTCTTGGATTGGATTTAAACCTGAGCACTGAACCCCAGCTGACACCTGATCCAGGTCTGGCCATAGCTTTTCCTCCCAGCTGTGTCTAGAATAAGTAATACTCCCAGCTCAGTGTGTTTAAAATCATTCTGGGATTGCTGAGGCTCAATGGCTGGTGGTTCTCTACCACTAGATGACAGTGTTTGCACTGTTTTCTGACCACATTCAATGGAGGGAAAGCTCCAGCACTGCAAGGAAGTATCCTACCTAAATAAAGCAGGTGTGTCCAGCAACCGTAGGTGTGATGTGGCTGTTTTTTGCCCTTACAGCTGTTTGCAATGTCAGAGATTCATAATGCTTCATACATTTTTTTCAAAACAAATGGCAAGCCTTTAAAAATCCCTTTGCTTTTGCTAATAGAATAGGCTAAAAATCAGTTTGCAGGCCACAGCCAAAACTGATTGTGGGGCAAAGAAATACATGCAAAAGGGTGCAAAAATCCCACTACTGGCCTCTTAACTCTCAGGTGCCTGGCTGATGTGATCGCAGGGAGAGCCAGCAGCCCCAGCTCTTTGCCAAGGGGACTTAAAAAAAAAAAGCACTGGATTTTCTAGAATGCACTGGGGACGCGGCAGTTCCAAACTAGCTATAATCCCTCTTCCCCATTGAATCATCTGCCAGCCTCAGATGACAGAGCAGAGCCTCACCCTTTTGCCAGATGAGTTCTGAAGCTGCAGTCGTAACATTACATTATGAGCATTTTGCATTTCAGCTGAGGCCTAAAATATTTATTTCATTGAGAGAGCTAGGGAAACCACAGCTCACTGCAAGAAGTTACTGTCCTGCCACTAAACAACAGGAATATTCATAAGCTTGCCAGCTCTGTGTAGGCCAGAGACCATGCATAAAATAAGGTGTCCTGTGTTACAGCTTTTACTGAGTAATCAGGGAAAATATTGAACTCCCTGAAACTAGAACAGCAGCATTTAATTAAAAAAAAACCCTACTAAGAATTGCTCCCCATACCCATCCTAGCAGAGGGGCATAGGGAGAGGTGTTTAGGTAGGAACCATTCAGATAAATCACATCAACTGGTTCCTGAAACTAAACCAACAGCTATTGAGTTTCTGCAATGCAGCAAAGGGACACAAACTTCAACCAGGGGGTCTAAAAAAGTGAGGGTTTTCTCCCACTACCATGGCATTGGGCTGCAAGCTGGCTCCTACACAGGGACATTACATCCTATCTGCTCTAAACATACTGCAGTTCCAAAGTGAACAGAGGAAGGCCCCTCAGCTCATCTTTAAATCAACCAGTGAAGGGTGCATGCTGTACAGAACGTCCTATAAAAGGTCCTTTGATTTTAGTATTACTGGCTACGGTGCTTGTTATTAAAAGAAGGCCATCCTGCCGCCAGTGACTCAACCAACTCCCTGTACCATCCCTCCAGTGGAAACACAGTCGGTGGAGAGGTGTGAGAGGCAACTGGCTTAAAAATTAAGGCCCAACTCCACGAAGGTATTTAGGCTCCTAACAGCTATTGAAGTCAGTGGGTGTTGGGAGGCTAAATCTCTTTGTGGCTCTGGTCTTTTCTTTTTTAGAAAAAAGAAGAAAAAAGCCTTCCCTGAGCTGGAGCACTGACTTCGCCCAATGTTGGAGTCAGGCTCTTACTTCCTGCTTCCCACAGCTGCAGGATCCCAGCTCTGCTGTTTTCTTCAGTCTAGTGCCAGCCTTGACTAAACCCTCAGCCTCTGACTCCAGGCCCTATAAATTACAGAGGAAATACTTCAGAAAATCTTTTCTTTTCCTGATTGGACTCAGTGCATTCCAAGGGGGTTTGGCCTGGGGCACAGTCAACTGCTAACAACATCCAGGAGAGGCTTTTAGCAGGCGAGTTAATTGCCAGACCACAGTTGGACTTAACTCACTACTAGTGTGAAAAGTGATGTCATGCCTTGTGCTAGGGCAGCGATAAAAAGTGACATGAATTCCAGTTCATTTTCTTGCCAACTGCCACTGCCTTCCTGTCGCTGGAGGGGTGGCGGAGAGTCTGAAGTGGAACTCAATCAAGTCACCAAGCCCTGGCATGGATTTTTGGACTCATTCTTAGAATGACAATAGATTGGGCCAGGATAGGCAGCGTTAGTGGAGAGCGCTTGCGTCTTATTCTAACCCGCTCTAGCTCTTGTACAAGGGAAGAGGTGGGGAAAGGCAAGTTTGCAGATTCTGCCAATTACTACATTAATGGAGAAAAAAAATCCAGTCTGAATGGCTGAACTAATTCGTGTCAGACCCTAGTTCTCCAGACCTGAGTCCTCCTGTAGCAATGGGGCTTGAGGCCTTTCTGTTTTTCTTTCCCCCTTGGCTCTTCTGCTGCTCACCTGAGTGATGGCATGCTACCTAGCACAACCTCAGTCTCACCTCGCACCTGCTGCACGACCAGCTTTGGCAAGACGGGCTAGTGTAGGGCAGCACCACTCACAAACTCCATGGAAACGCTGCCTCAGTTAAAGCATTGGCTTTCCAACAACGCCCAAGGCACAACTTGTCCATCCTCACTTTCAGGAGGAGATTTGGGTTACCCACAGGTGCAGGCAACTGCCTCCCCAGCTCCCGGTTCGTGTGTCAGCGCTTCAGGGCAGGGAGCGTCATTCCTCTATCCGCAGCGCCCAGCACAATGGAGCCCCAGTTTTGGGGAAACCTTCAGCTGCTATCCCAGGAGTGATGTGAAATAATAGTGAGACATCCCTGCTGCTTCCCCCTTTCCAGGGGGTTGATATTGAAGCTTATGTCTCCTTCTTGGGTTCCTTGCTGTGAAAGATCTGGGCCCCAGCCCTGCAACAGAGCCAGCGGGCACAGGCTTTCACCATTACAGGCATAGCTAAACTGTGCCCACCAGCGGGCTGCCACAGCCGCTTACTAGGAGCCCAAGTGCTGCACATAAGCAGCCATTTATGCAGGCTGTGATACCAGCGATGGCA